CAGCAGCAGAGCCCTTCTGTTTGTTATTGCTGCTGCTTCTGATGCTGCAGCGGCTGTCTCCTGAGGGCGAGTTTGCTGTTGCTTCCCGGCTAGTGGAGGTGCAGCAAGCAGCAGCAGCTGCTGCTGCTGCCTTCTCATTCACTGAAATCCCAACAGCAGCAGCAGCAGCAGCACCTGCTGCTGCTGCTGCTGTCGCTGCGGGACCCAAAAGCGAGTTTCTGCTGCTGCTAAGGGAAGGCAGGAAGAGGCGCCTTGCTGCGATCTTCTCGCTTGCAGTGCAAGTAAGCTGCTGCTGTTGCTGCTGTTGTTGCTGCTGCTGTTGTTGCTGCTGTCGTCGTTGCTGCAGCTGCTGCAGTTGTTTCGGTGTGCTAGGCAGCTGTTCATTGTTCTGCTGCTGCTGCTGCTGTGCGGGTTGGTGTTGCTGCTGCAGTTGGCGGGAACAGCACCAGACAGCGGATCGCAGCAGCAGCAGCAGGAAGAACAGCAACAGCAGCGACAGCAGCAGGCGCCGCGGCAGCAGCTGCGGCTACTGCTGCTGCTGCTGTCCTGCTGGGAAGGATCGGAAGCAGCTGCAGCAGAAGAGTTGATGCAGCATCTGCTGCAGCAGGTACGAGACACCCTGACAAGCAGTAGCAGGAGCACCAGCAGCAGAAGCAGCAGCAGCTGCAGCAGCAGCAGCAGCAGCAGCAGCAGCAGCTGCAGCAGCAGCAGCAACGAACGAATAAAAGATAAGTAGAAATAAACAGAGACAGGGAAGCAAAGACAGAAGGAGACACCGAAGGAAGCCGAAACAAAAGGGGGAGATAAAACCTGTTGCTGCTGCTGTTGCTGCTGCTGCTGCTGCTGTTGTTGTGGTCCTTTCAGGTGTTCCCGGCTGTATGTGCAGCTGGCGCTGCTACGCCTGATGGCGACAGCAGCAGCAGAGAGAGCGAGAGCTGCTGCTGCTGCTGCTGCGCAGGAGCAGCGCCGCCTGGGAGGCACGGTAGGGCCAGCAGCAGCAGCAGCAGCAGCAGCAGCAGCAGCAACTGCTGCAGCAGCAACAGCATATGCAACCGACGCGTCCCTATCTCAGTGCTGCAGGCGACCCTTATTCGCGCCGTGGGGAGGCTCTTTGTCTGCTGCAAGAACAGCAACAGCAGCAACAGCAGCAACAGCAACACGAACAGTAGCAGCAGCAGCAGCAACAACAGCAGCAGCAACAGCAGCAGCAGCACGCTAGTGGCCTTTATAAGGTACGGGTGATTCGTATATTTTTTTGCTCACCATCTGCGCGTCTTTCTGTCTTTTCCTGCATTTGCTGCTGTTGCTGCTGCTGCTGCTGCTGTTTGCGTTTCAGGGCTCTGCTGCTGCTGCCGGGTGTCTCTGCTGCGGCGCTTGAAGAGGCAACGAGTCAGCTGCTGCCGCTGCTGCTGCTTGATGCTGCAGTTCCGACGGAGGAGAGCAGCAACAGCAGCAGCAGCAGCAGCAGCAGCAGCAACAGCAGCAGCAACAGCCAGGCACTGGTGCCAATGCAGGAGGCCCGGAGTATAGTGCTGCTGCGGCCTACAGCAGCAGCTGCAGCAGCATCAGCAGCACCAGCAGCAGCCTTTGCTGAGACGCACTGCTTAGGGGTCGCCTCTACTGCTACAAGTCCTGCTGCTGCCTTATCTGCTGCAGCACGGGGGGAAGCAGCAGCTGCAGCAGCAGCAAACCTCCATCTGCTGCCTGCCTGCTGCATCTGCGGCACCACCGCAAGACTCTCACTGACAGAAGCAGATGCAGCAACAGCAGCAGGAGCAACAGCAGCAATAGCAGCAGCAGCAGCAACACCAGCAGCCACAATCCTGACGTGCGGAAGCTGCGGCTACCCTTATATGCCAACGCCGCTGCAGATGACTGCAGCAGCAGCAGCAGCAACAGCAGCAACAGAAACAGCAGCAGCAGAGTCTCCACTGGCTATGCTGCTGCGGTGCTGCGCAGCAGCACGGGAAGATGGGCGTTTGCTGCAGCAGGAAGCATTCTTACCTCTGCTGCTGCTGTTGTGTTGCTGCTGCTGCAGGCTGCTGGAGCTGCAGCAGCAACACGCTCTGCAGCAGCAAGTGAGGTATCTGCTTCATTGCGTATTGCATAAAACAGCTTCCCAGCAGGAGCCTCTTGCAGCTGCTGCGGCTGCTGCTGCTGCTGCTGCAGCTGGGCTTCCCCCGCTGGGAACCGCTCCTCCTGCTGCTGCTGTTGCTACAGCTGCTGACGGCAGCATCAGGAAGGACAGTGTATTGCTGCAGCACGTGCAGCAGCAGCAGCAGCAGAGCAGCCTGAAGCAGCAAGCACTGTGTGCGCCGCTGCTGGCTTTGCTGCTGCTGTCTCCTGTCTCTGTGTTCTCCCCTGCTGAGCTGCCTTGCAACAGCAGCAGCAGCAGCAACGACAGCAACAGCAACAGCACCAGCAACAGTAACGAATGCAACACGGAAGCAGATGCTGCTGCTCCTGCTGCTGCTGCTTGTATCTCTGTCTGGCTGCTGCTGCACTTGGCCCTGCGAGCGAATTCCATATATGTAGATATGTGCTGCTGCCCCGAGAGCAGCAGCAGCAGCAGCAGCAGCAGCAGTGACGTTATCATTCGGATGTTAGAAACGCCGCAGCAACAAGCAGCAAAGGCTCCTCTGCTGCTGCTGCTGCAGTCTCCTGCATTGCTACTGAGGCTGCTGCCTCCCTTCCCAGACAGTTTGCTGCTGCAGCAGGAAGAAAAGCACCAACAGTTGCTGCTGCAACTGTGGGGTGAGGACGCAGCAGCAGCAGCAGCAGCACCTCCTGGAGCGCTGCTCCAGAAGCTGCGCCTTTGTCTTCTCCTCTCCCCCGTAAGCCTTAAAGCAGCAGCAGCAGCAGCAGCAGATGCTGCTGCTGCTGCTGGTGCTGCAGCAAACACAGCTGCCACCAATTCGCTTCTCACCAACGAAAAGCTAATCACTCCGTCGCAATGCAGCAGCAGCAGCAGCAGCAAGAACAGCAGCAGCAGCATGTGCCTTGGTGCTGTTTGGGTGTACGCGCCGCTGCACCTGCAGCCTTTGCTGCAGCAGCATTTTATGGCTGCGTCTTCCGAAGCAGCAGCAACGGCAGCAGCAACGGCAGCAGCAGCAGCAGCAGGAACATCATCTGTTGCTGCTGCGCTTGCTGCTACGAAGGATGCTTCTTTTACAGGAGACAGCGGAAATCTGCTGCTGCGCTGCACGTCTCTGGTGCCGCTGCTGCTGTGTGCTGCGCGTCTGCATCCTGGTGTTGCTGCTGCTGCTGAGCAGCAAGGCCTGCAGCAGCAGCAGCACCAGCACCTGCAGCAGCAGCATCAACAGCCAGTAGACAGATGCTGCCTGTACACCCCGTCACTGCAGCAGGCTGTTGCAGCGGTCCTCCACGAGCAGAGAGAACAGCAGCAGCAGCAGCAGCAGCAGCAACAGCAGCAGGAGGAGCAGCAGAAGGCCCTTGTTTCCTTTCTTCCTTACCGGGTGTATGTACACCCCAACGGAGTTGCAGCAGCATGGCTTGCTGCAGATGCTGCTCTGCTGCTTCGTGCTTTGTTTCGGCGGCTGCATGCAGCAGCAGCAGCAGCAACAGCAGCAGCAGCCGCAGCAGCAGCAGCAACAGCAACAGGGAACGGGGGTCGCATCATGTGGTTCAATGCTGCAACACCAGCACTGCTGCAGCGGCTGCAGCAGCTCACGCTGCTGCTGCGCTGCTGGGGTGTATCTGCAGCAGCAGCAGCAGCACATGCATGCGGCGGAGGCTGCTGTCTTGACAGCCTCTTCAATTTGTTCTGGCGCAGCAGCAGCAGATCGCCTGTTGGCTTTAGCAGCAGCATATACAGCAGCAGCAGCAGCAGCAGCAGGAGAGCTGCTGCTGCTGTCTTTAAAGGAGGGCTGCTGCTGCTGCTGCTGGGCTCTCAGCGCTACCGTCTGGTCTCCGGGGAGGTGCAGCAGCACTCGTTGCTGCGGCGCTCATTGCTGCTGCAGCGCAAACAGCAGCAGCAGCAGCAGCACCAGCACAACGCTGCTGCTGCTGCTGCTGCTGCCTCCGCTGCTACTGCTGCTGATGAAGCAGCAGCAGAAACGCAGTTGCTGCTCAACGTGCTGCTGCCGTTTCGGTTTGCTGTTGCAGCCTGGAAGACAAATATTACCCTTCTTCGTAGGCCATGCTGCTGCTGCTGCTGCCTCTGCTGCTGCTGCTGCTCCCGCTTCTGCTGATGGTGGTGGTGCTGCTGCTGCACCTGGTCCGGCTGCTTCTGCTGCTGCGCGTGTTGCTGTTGCTGGTGTTGTTTCTTCTTGTGCTGCTTCGTTCTTGCTGCCTGGCCTCTGCTGCTGCTGCTGCAGGTGCAGATTGCTGTTGTTTTTGCTGCTGCTCTTGCTGGTGCTGCTGCTGCTGCTTTTTCGTTTGCTGCGTGTGTTAATGCTGCCCTCGAAGTTATGCAGATGAATGATGCCTTTGTTGTTTTTGCTGCTGCTGCTATTGCTGATGCGGCGTGCTGCTATTGCTGCTGCTGTGCGTGCAGCGGGGCTGAGTCTGCTGCAGCAGCTGCCGCCTCTTGACGGTTTAATCTTTTATTTGCTGCTGCTGCTACCTCCATCGCCAGCAGCAGCAGCATTTGTTTCGAAGTTGCTGCTGCTGCACTACAACAGCAGCAAAGAAAAGGATCTCGGCGCTGCATGCAGCAACAGCAGCAGCAGCAGCAACAGCAACAGCAACAGCGGGGCCCAAGCCATTGCTGCTGCGAGCGACGAGGAAGCCTCTGCTGCTGCTTTGCTGCATCAGCAGAAGCAGCGGCAGCAGCAGCAACAGCAGCAACAGCAGCAAATTCTTTTCTTCGTTGTGCTGCGCTGCGCACATTACGTGGCAACCCGTACGCTGAAGCAGCAGCAGGAGCAGCAGCAGAAGAAGCAGCAACAGCAACAGCAGCAGCAGCAGGAGCAGCAAGCAGCAAGGCAGCTTCCCAGCTGCACTGGCAGTACCTCACGCCTTCCATGCAGCAGCAGCAGCAGGAGGATCTGCTGCTGCTGCATCTGCTGCTGTATTTTATGCTGCTGCTGCTGCTGCTTCTTGTTTTGTGTTTGCTGCAGACTCCCACGGCGACAGCAACACAGCGAAGCAGCAGCTGCTGCAGTGCGTCACCTTGTTGCAGAGGTAAGCAGCAGCAGCAGCAGCAAAGGAGCGGCAGCAACGCAGCAGCTGCAGCAGCAGCAATTAGCAGCAGCATCAGCAGCTAGTGTATGATTGGCGCCTGTAACCCCACAGCTAGAGGACGTGCTGCTGCTGCTTCTGTTGCTGCGGTCGCTGTTTCTGCTGCTGCAGCGGTGTGGATTTGCTGCAGCAGGAGACGGAGCTGCAGGCGGAGCCCATATCAATGACAGCGCTGGTGCAGCAGCACCTGCTGCAGGTGAAGTTGTTGCTGCTGCTGCTGCTACTCCTGTTCTTGCTGCTGCCGCTGCTGCTGCTCTTGCTGCTGTTGCTGTTGCTGACGCTTCCTTTGCCCTGGTTGTTATTTACTTGCCGCTTTTGCTGCAGCGCGATATCGGCGCTGCAGCAGCAGATGGAGCAGCAGCAACAGCAACAGCAGCAGCACGTGTTGTTGTTTGTTTGTCTCTCTTTTGCTCTCCCTTCTGTCTGCTGCTCCAGCCTATTTTTGTTTTGCTGCTGTTTTTTAATTTACTTTATTTAATTTTAATTTTAATTTTATTTTATCTGCAGGTCGTGGAGGTCCTGCGGCTTTGTCTTGTAGCCCCAAGCAGCAGCAGCAGCAGCAGCAGCAGTGCAGCAGCAGCAACTCTGCTCTATCGCCGCAGCTTCCTGCGGCTGTTCGTCCCGCCGGTGTCTCTGCCGCTGCTGCTTCGCCTCCCTGTGCTGCGGCAGCAGCAGCAACAGCAGCAGAAGCAGCAGCAGAAGCAGCAGCAGCAGCAGCTGAGCCTGCCGCCAGCACCAAACTCAGGAGCAGCAGCAAGTATAGCAGCTGTGCAGACGCTGCAGCTGCTGCTGGACGCAGCAGGCAGCGAACTTGTGGAGACGCGGGCAGCAAAGGTATGCTGCTGCTGTTGCTGTTGCTACTTCTGCTGCTGCTGCTGTTGCTGCTGCTGCTGCAGCACATTCTCCCGCTGCGGCTTGTGTGGGGTTTGCTGCTAGGCCGAGGGTTTAGGGTTTATTAGGGTTTATGGTTTACTGTTTATCTCCCCTTCTCCTATAAACGCTGGTCTCTCTTCTGCTGTTGCTGCTGCTGCTGCTTTGCTGCTGCTGCTGCTGCTGTTTTGTGTGTGCAGCTGTTGGGCTTTCTAGACCTCTGCAGCGGTGTAGCTCAATGTTCGCTTTCAGTGCTGCGGTGTATATACAGCTGCGTTGCTGCCTTTTCTCCTGCGTCTTTGCTTCGATTCCTTCCCTATCTGCTGCAGCAGCTGCAGCAGTATGGACTGCATGCAGAGCAGCAGCTGCGCCGCTGCAGCAGCAGCTCCAGCAGCAGCAGCAGCAGCAGCAGCAATGGTGATAGGGAGAGGTCAGTCTGCAGCTGCAGCAGCTGTGCTGCAGCAGATACGATGTACAGCGAGTTGTGGGGTTTGCTGCTGCTGCTGCTGGCAAAGGCTCAAGATGCTGCAGCAGCAAACGAGCAGCAGCTTCCGCTGCTATGTGCTGCTTTCGCTTGCACGCCGGTGCTGCCGCCGCTGCAGCAGCTACTGCCAAGCGACCCTGCAGCAGCAGCAGCAACAGCAGCAACGCAGCAATGCAGCACCAGCAGCACCAGCAGCCTCCTATCGCAGCAGCAACCCAAAACCCCTTTGCTGCGGTTGCTGCAGTTTTACTGCTTGCTGCCTGCGTTTCTGCTGGAGCAGCAGCAGTGGCGAATCCTCAGCAGCAGCAGCAGCAGCAGCAGCAGCAATGGGTGGTGTAGCGGTGCCTCTTCTTGGCAGCTGGAGGATCTGCAGCAGCAGCTGCAGCAGCAGCGCAGCGACTACTTGCATGCGCAGCAGCAGCTGCCGCTGCTGCTGCTGCGCTGCTGCGCCGTGGGGGTGTTTCTGTGTAGCAGCTTTCCTTACTTAACTCGCTTTGCTGCTGCTCAGTGTTTGCTGCAGTTGGTGCGTTGCTGCAGCGTGCCGCTGCTGCTGCAGCAGCAGCAGCAGTTGTTGCTGCTGCAGCTACAGCAGCAGGAAGCGCATGCCCTGCCTTCGGAAGAGCAGCAGCAACAGCAGCAGCTGCTGCTGCTGCTGCAGAAGCTACTGGGGGCCCTCATCAACAGCTTGCAAGGGGTAATGGTAGAGCTGCTGCACTCTACCGATCCTCTAGCTTTGTGCTGCTGCCAGATCTTGGGGCATCTCGAGCCTTTCAGCAGCAGCAGCAGCAGCAGCAACAGCAGCAGCAGCAGCAGCAAGGTGCCATGCTCCTCAGCAGTAGCAGATCTGCTGCTAAAAGGGACAGACGGTGCTGCTTCAAGCAGCCAGCAGCAGCAGCAGCAGCAGCAGCAAGGAAAGGGCAGCAGCAACAGCAGCAGCACGCAAGCTCGCCGCAGCACCAGCAGCAGCAGCAGCAGCAGCAGCAGCAGCAGCAGCAGGTGGCAGATAGCAGCAGACGGGGCACTAGGAGTAGTTTTGCTGCAGGATTTGCTGCTGTCCCACCTTCATTTGTCTGTTGCAGAAAGAACAGCACAAGAGCTGCTGCGTGTCTTGGGCCTCCACCTAAATTCAAACCCAGGTCTGCTGCTGCTGCTGCTGCTGCTGCTGCTGCTAATGTTCCTGCTGGTGCTGCAGTTGTTGTTCCTGCTTCTCCTGATGCTGCTGCTGTTCCTGCTGCTCCTGCTGCTGTTCCTACTGCTCCTGCTTCTGCTGCTTTTCCTGCTGCTGGTGCTGCTGTTCCTACTGCTGCTACTTCTGCTGCTGTTTCTGCGGCTGCTCCTGCTCCTCCTGCTGTCCTTGCTGCTCCTTCTGCTGCTGGCGTTGCTGCTGCTTCTGCTGCTGCTCCTGCTGCTTCTGTGGTAGCAGCGGCGAAATGCTGATGCTGTTGCTGTTGCAGCTGATGCTTTTGGTGCTGATGCTGCTGCTATTGCTGCATCTGCTGCTGTTCCTCTAAGGCGGCGTGCGGTTGTAATGATGATGCTGCTGCTGTTACTGATGCTGCTGCTGCTGTTGCTGCTGCTATTCTTTCAGGTCGCGCTGCAGAGGTGTTTCCGCGCATGTATAAAGCTTTTGTGCGGCAGCAGCAGCAGCAGCAGCAAAAGCAGCGGCAGCAAGAGGAGCAACAGCAGCAACAACAGCCGCAGCAGGGGGAGGAGCAGCAGCAGCAGCAGCAGCAGCTTGCAGGAGACAATCCCTTTGCTCTCAACTCCTTCCGGGGCTTTCTATGGGCTCAGCTGTTTCGTTCAGCAGCAAAAGTAGCGCTGCTGCCGTACGTCAGCAGCGCATACAAACACTGGACAGGCAGCAGCAAGACCAGTAGCAGCAGCAGCAGCAGCAGCAGCAGCAGCAACACCAGCAGCAGCAACACCAGCAGCAGCAGCAGCAGCAGCAGGAAGACCATAAGCAGCAGCCAACACAGAAGCGGCAGCTCTGCTTCAGCGGAGACGGGAAGAGGCAGAAAACGCAAAGCAGAAGTTGCTGCAGCAGCAGAAGCAACAGAAAGAATAACAAACGGCAGCAGCAGCAGCAGCAACAACAACAACAACAACAACAGCAGCAACGGCAGCAGCACTCTTGCCTTGTCTGTCAACTCTCCACTGCAGTCGTTTGTGCATTGGCTGCTAAATTCCCTCGAGCAGCAGCAGCAGCAGCAGCAGAAGGAAGGTAGCAGCTCAGCCAGCAGCAGCAGGAGCAGCAGCAGCAGAAGCAGCAGCAGCAGCAGCAGCAGCAGCATCCGCATTCAGATCTTCCGCGCATGCGATTTGGCTCTGCTGCACCTGCCGTTTTGCCTCTCCTTTTTGCTGCCGCATCTGACTGAAGCATTTCTCTCTTCAAGATGTACCGCCCCAGAACAGGTGCTGCTGCTGCTGCTGCTGCTGGTGCTATTGCTGCTGGTTTTGCTGCTCGAGTTCGTGCTGCTGCTGCGCTTGTTGTTGCTGTTCAGTGCTGCTTCTGCCCTAACTGTTGCTGCATTTGTTGGTGCTTACTGCTGCTTCTGCTGCTGCTGCTAGTGCTGATCTTGCTGTTGTTGCTGCTGTTGTCGTTGCTGCTGCTGCTGCTGCTAGCCCCCTTATAAATGCTACTGGAGTGCTGCGTTCAGCCGCTCGTTTGCTGCTGCAGTTGCCGCTGGTGTTGCTGCAGCACTTGCTGCTGCAGTTGCTGCCGCTTCAGTTTGTTGTTGCCCAGTCCTGCTGCTGCTGCTGCTGTTGTTGCTGCTGCAGGCAGGAAGCCTCCTTTGTGAGCGGCTGCTGCAGCTGGTGGCAACAGAACTGCAGCGCAATGTAGGAGCCAACAGCAGCAGCACAAGCGGCAGCAGCAGCAGCAGCAGTAGTAGGAGCAGCAGCAACAGGCCGGTAGCAGAGGGAATCTCAGTTGGTGACACGGAGGCGCAGCAGCAGCAACAGCAGCAGCAGCAGCAGCAGCAGAACGAACAGCAGCGAAAAGCAGCTGCTGCAGACAGCGCGTCAACGATTCAGGTTTGCTGGAGTTGCTGCTGATGGTGCTGCTTCAGCTGCTGCTGCTGTTGCTGTTGCTCCTGCTGCTGCTGTCTCCGTGGTTGCTGCTGCGGGTGCTGCTTCTCCTTGAGCTGCTGCTTCTGCTGAATGTTTGCTGCCGCTAGTCGCAGTCTATTGTGCGAGCTCGCTGCTGCAGCTGCTGCTGCTTGTGCTGCTGCTGCTGCTGTTCAGGCTGTCTTCTCGCTGCTGCAGAAGCTCTCACGCTGGCGACGGCAGGTGGAGGAGCAGCAGCTGCCGCTGGTGTTGCAGCGGCAGCAGCTGCTGCAGCAGCAGCTAGCAAAGGTTCAGACTCCAACAGCAGCAACAGCAGCGACAGCAGCAACACCAACAATAGCAGCAACTGCAGCATCTCCTTGTGGAGGTGCTATGCTTAACGGCAGCAGCAGCAGCAGCAGTGGCAGCCCCCAGCAGCAAGCTGTGATACAGCAGCAACTGCAGCAGCTGCAGCACCAGCAGAAGCTGCTGCAGCATCAACTGATTGCTATTAAGAGCACTCTTGAGGGCCTCGACCCGCTGCTGCTGTCTCGTGCTGCTCTTTCCTGTGGAGCATACGCGAGGTTCGTTGCTGTTGCTGCTGCTGCTGCTGCTGCTGCTGCTGCTGCTGCTTGCTTGCTGCTGAGCTCCAAAGTAACGTGGCTGCTGCTGCTGCAGCAAGATGCAGTTCGGCTGCCTCGGCGCCTGTCTGTATGGTCGTGTAGTTATTGCTGCTGCTCCGCTTGCTGCTGCTGCCCTTTCTGCTGCTACTGCACTTGTTGCTGCTGCTGCTGCACTTGCTGCTGCTGCTGCTGCTGCTGCAGGGCTTTATGTTTGGTGGAGCAGCACATTGCTCGCGATTTGCTGCCGCTAAAGGACCTCCACCGCCGGCTGTGGGGGGCGCCAGCATCAGCTGCTGCAGCACCAACTGCAGCAGGAACTGCAGCAGCAACAGGTAGTGACATGACGGATGCTTGTCTGGTGTTGCGGTTTGTGCTGCTGCTGCAGCAACTGCTGCTTTTTCTGCTGCTGCTGCTGCTGTTGTTGTTGTAGCTACGTATCTTACTGGTGCTGCTCAAATGGGTGCGTACGGCTTCCTCCCCACACTGACTCTGGTTTGCTTCTGCTGCTGCTGCTGCTCCTGGCGCTGCTGCTGCTGCTGCAGAGGACGACGGATACGACGAGGTGTCAGTGCAGCTGCTGCTGCAGTCATACAGAGGCCTCAAAGAACGAGATTTGCTGCTTGCTGCAGTGGAGTGCTGCCGCGTTGCTGGGGTGTACAGACAGCGTAGCAGGCTTGCTGCTGCACCAGCAGCAGCAGCAGCAGCATGTACCGGTGCTGCTGCTGCTGGACCGGAGAAAGACCCACAGCAGCATCAGCAGGCTGTGCTGCAGCAGCTGCAGCAACAGCTGCAACGGCAGCAGCAAATTGCACACGTGGAAGGCTTTGCTTTAGAGTTGTGCTGCAAGTGGAGACGAGCAGCAGCAGCATACAGCAGACGGTAAGACATCGTTTGTTTGTTTGTTTGTTTGTTTGTTTGTTTGCTTGTTTGTTTGTTTGTTTGTCTCTCTCTGTCTCTCTCTCTCTTTATATATATATATATATATATATATATATATATATGTATATATATCTGCTGCTGTTGCGTGTTTCTGTCAGTCTCCTTCAACTGCAGTGCAGCAGCAGCAGTAACAGCAGCAGCAGCAGCAGCAGCAGCAGCGCGTTGCTGGCGTTCTGCAAGACGGCGTTGGCAGCAGCAGCTGCGGAGTCGTCCCCCCCATCTGTACGAGCAGCAGCAGCAGCCGCAGCAGCAGCAGCAAACTCAGCAGCAGCAGCAGCAGCAGCAATTTGGTGTGGGCTCTTCCGTTGCATGCGCAGAAGCGGCGGTGGTGTTGCTGCTTGGCCTCAGCCGCACGAAGTGCTGCGCTTGCTGCAGCAGCAGCAGCTGCAGCATCTGCTGCTGCTGCTGCCGCTCCCCGCACCCACCTCCTCGCAGCAGCAGCAGCAGCAACACCAACAGCAACAGAGAATGCAGCAGCTCGTGCAGCAGTTTAGAGATTGTCTCTGTCGCTCTGCTGCTGCAGCAGGAGGTGCCTGGCAGTGGGAACAGCGGCGAGAGCAGCAGCGGCTGCTGAGCATCGCTGACAGTGCTGCTGCTGCAGCAGTAGCACCTGCTGCTGCTGCTGCTGCTGCTGCGGATGCTGCCTTCACGGAAGGTGATTTGGGTGCTGCAGCAGCCGCAACAGAAGCAGAGCTGCAACAGCAAAGAGGCCTATGGGCAGAGGCAGCAGCAGCTTGCTGCAGCCTCAGCAAGTGGAATGAACTTCCTGCGTTGCTGCAGTCTGCTGCTGCTGCTGCTGCTGCACCCTCTGCTACTGCTGCTACGTCCCCACAAGCAGCAGCAGCAGCAGCAGGTGACAGCTGCACGGCGCTGCTGCCTCAAGCGGAGCCGACAGAAAGCAATTTTCTGCTGCAGCACGCTCGTCTGTTGCTGCTGCTGCGGGGCGTGGTGCAGCAGCAGCAGCAGCAACAGCAACAGCAGCAGCAGCAGCAAGGCTGCGTCGGGTGTATGGTTGGATCTGAGCTGCAAGAGGCCATGCAGCAATCTCTAGGGCATGTTGCTGCAGCACTTAAAGATTCTTTGCTTCGCGCTGCTGCTCACCTCTCTCACCTCCATATCTACGCGGACCTTGAGGTGCCGCTGCTGCTGTTGCTGCTGCTGCTGTTGTTGTTGTTGCTGCTGCTGTTTTTGTTGCTGCGGCTGGTGCTGTTGCTGTTGTGACTGCTGTTGCTGCTGCTGCTGTTGCGGCTGCTGCTGCTGCTGTAGCTGTTGCTGCTGCTGTTCCTGTTGCTGTTGCAGTAGCTGCTGCTACTGCCGTAATTGCTGCTATTGTTGCT